CGGAGGGAGCTTCAGATGTTGTTGTTTCGGTGGTGGCTACCCTGAGTGAAAAAGAGCGCGAACACTCAAATGGCTCCTTGCGCCCACCTCGATACTTTCTGATTTTCTCACACGTGATCATAATGTCAGATGGACAAACCGAGTGTGAAATTTTCAGTTTTAGAGTTGCGGAACTCGACTTACAAAGTTTCGCCGGTGTCCGGTGAAAAGGAACGAAAATGATATTTTGAATGGTTTACGTAATTACGTACGTAAGTTAGAGGGGAGGAGGGGGTTCGGGGTTTGGGAGAAATGTGCAAAGGTAACTATTGTTTCGGGGTCATCTTGACAAAAGAAAACGAAAATGTTTTATGCTCAAAGACGATCGGAATCGAAATGGCAGAGATATTACCCACCAATTTGGCAATTTGGTCGATTTTGAACACTTTTTACCCTTTGGAAGCTAATAACTAAGCCATTTCGACTCTGTGGCATTACAGAAAAGGGTAAATTGAGTAGGGGGAGGGCAGTGGGGATAGGAAGGGACAGTAGCAGACATATTCTGTATGAACTTCAGGAACTGTAACAGTTGTGTGTTTACCAAAAAAAATCAACCATGTATTTTGATGAATAGAAACCAGACTTCCCAGTATCAAGCTTTTCTAGTGGACTTCCAAATCTATTCTATTCCATAGTAATTGTAATTACTCAAGTTCACTACTCACTAAAAGTGCCTGTTGTAGGGGGGGGGGGGGGGGGGAGTGCAAGGGATTTGAACTCTAGTTGAATACAGCGACCCAACCAGACCAGGCCGCGGTTTAAGGCCCGGCTGGTCCCTCCCCCATCTCTCACGTTCAAGGAGCAGCAGAATCAGTTGCCTACCTACTAGGCGGACCCTCATTCATTATAGTTTTGTTCAATATTTGTTACGTCTTCTGTTGTATTGATGCACTTCGCTCAGCTACCCCATGCATAATGTTAACGCACGGGGCCCTACGTATTAAAAACGCAGTAGTTTGCGGGTTAGCCTACTCTGCCCGTAAGGCGCCATAGCCCCTAGAGTAGGCAAACCCACCCGCACCTGCGTCTTTGATCTGGTACGTAATCAGTGTGCGCTGGGCGCTGGGGACATAATCTGCACATAATCCACGTGGATCCGCGCATAATCCACGTGATCCGTACATAATTCACATAATCTGCATGATTCGCACCTAATCTACGTGATCCGATAATGCCCATAATCTGCGCA